AAAACGTTTATAACGCGAAATTCCGTAATATAACGTGAATCACGTTAATTGATTGACCTTTGATAGATAAATGAAGATGCGTTCCTGCGAAAGTTTTTCGACTAAAAGAAGTACACGCATGTTTATTAGTAGTCCGCAAATGCAGACGTAAACTCCGCTTTGCTAATCTGAGGGTGCGGGTTTATCCCTGTTGACCTGTGACGTACTTCGGTTTGAAGAGTGGATTCACCGACCAATCGGAGGGCGCTGCGTTTGCCGATCGCTATGCGCATTGGGAAATGCGTACGTCACAGGTCAACAGAAATGGCGCTCAGTATATTCGCTGCTCGCCACTTCGAATTTTTGTAACAGGTTATATTAGTTTAATACAGAGTATTGCGATACATTGTAAGTTCCCGAATAGCAGAGAAAGGTTCGTGTTTAGAATAAACCCAGTTTGGAAGTTCTAGTATCTGAAAACGCACCAGCAAACCGGCCCGAGTGATTCACTCGGGCATTCCTCCGCAGAAAAGGATAGGGACACTTTGTAACCCTATCCGGGTTTGGGTTACATTATTAATGTATCTAATATAATGGCAGCGTTCAAGGCTAGTACTAGTAGTAGTAGTAGTACTAGTACTAGTAGCAGTAGTCCTATATTATCTTACTTCTGCTAGTAGTAGTAGTAGTCCGAGCCGACGCAGACCCCAGTAATGCCTAATGTAGCTCTAGTATTATAGCCCGCGTACAGTTGCCGCTAGCTCTAGTACTATAGCCCGCTTACATTAACTGCCGCTGGCCGCCAGCGGCAGTTAATGTAAGCGGGCTATAGTACTAGAGCTAAGTTGCCGCAGGCCTGCGGCAACTGTACGCGGGCTATGGTACTAGAGCTATGCCTAATGGGTCTGCAGGATAAACCCGCACCCTCAGATTAGCAAAGCGGAGTTATAACGTCTGCATTTGCGGACTATAGTACTAGTATTACTAGTAGTAGTAGTACTACTAGTACTATAGATACAATAATGTAACCCAAACACAGGATAGGGTTACAACGCGAGCCTATGGTTTTCTGTGGAGGAACCCCTGAGTGAATCACTCGGGGCGGTTTGCGGGTGCGTTTTCAGAGACTAGAACTTCCAAACTGGGTTTATTCTAAACACGAACCTTTCTCCGCTATCCTGGAACTTACTATGTATCACAATACTCTGTATTAAACTAATATAACCTGTTACAAAAATTCGAAGTGACGAGCGGCGGATATATGGAGCGCCATTTCTGTTGACCTGTGACGTACTTCGGTTTGAAGAGCGGATTCACCGACCAATCGGAGGGCGCTGCGTTTGCCGATCGCTATGCGCATTGGGAATGCGTACGTCATAGGTCAACAGAAATGGCGCTCAATATATCCGCCGCTCGTCACTTCGAATTTTCGTAACAGGTTATATTAGCTTAATACAGAGTATTGTGATACATAGTAAGTTCCAGGATAGCGGAGAAAGGTTTGTGTTTAGAATAAACCCAGTTTGGAAGTTCTAGTCTCTGAAAACGCACCAGCAAATCGCCCTGAGTGATTCACTCAGGGGTTCCTCCACAGAAAACCATAGGCTCGCGTTGTAACCCTATCCTGTGTTTGGGTTACATTATTGTATCTAGTACTACTACTACTAAGTACTAGTACTACTACTAGTAGTAGTACTTAGTGAGCAAACTGCATGCAGTGCCTCTTCGTACACTCAGGATACCACTGCCCATAGATATCATATAACAACGCCATGCCCATGACCACTGCCACAATGCTAGCACTATTTTTAAAGTGGGCGGAGCTCCGGGGAAATCCAGCAAATGGAGATTCGTAAACAGCGTATGATTTGAAAGAGGTTACCGGTTAGGGTTAGGGATAGGGAGTAGACGTAGGCGACTCCCTAGACTTGTTAGTGGAGTAGGCGAGGTACGGTCCGGCATATTACATAGTACCAGGGTACATTCCGGCAGTACCCTGGGGGACATAGACCCTCTCTTACGCTCAATCCGCGTACTATTTCGTATTACGATTTTATCAACAATTTTCATGAAATAACGGTCGGATTTTTAATATCTTTGCAACTTTTATTAGTTCAAATCTTATTATAAAGGATACGAGTAACGTGGCTGCTGTAAAACTTGTAGTAAAAAAGCGTTACAAATTGTAACGGAAATCTACTTGTGGCAGTGGTGAATTGAGCGAGAGCGAGAGCGCCATCTGTCGTGGAGTTTGCTTATAGTGCGTTCGATTTGCTTTCTCATAGCCACCTGGGTTAACCTGGGTACGAAATCGAACGCATCTGGGTTAGGGAAGATAAACGAACGGTTTTTGGGTTAACCCGGGTTAATTATCATCATGGATGCCAGTGACAAGAAAAAAAGAAT